GAAGCTGCTCGCCAGTTACGATCTCTTTCAATGTTGCGTTGCTACAATCAAAAACTCTTTTATTCCAGCTGCAACAAAATTAGGAAGAAAAGTGAAAAACGGACGCATTATTAAGATAAGATGCAAGGTTGAAAATTATTTGAACTGCGACGATAATGCGGTTGAAGTATTTGTTTGTATTTTGAGAAAAAATGTGTGACAGATATCTCAGCTGATGCTGTGCTTACTTGTGCTGGTCACATAAGGAATGTACGTTTACTTTTACTACTTGACATCGTTTGTAATCATCAATAAAGATTAAATCGGAGCAAGATGACCCTCCTCTGTAGCTTTCCTTATTTGTTGAATGCATTTATTTCGATGAATACATGGTTAAGCTATTAACAAGCAAGGCCTGTCTTCCCGTATGATCCAAAAGAGCCAACTTCAGGGAATGCTCGTTGTACTTCTGGCACAGCGATCGAAACTAAAAAGACAAATTTTTGTACCTTGCGCGATACAGTTCCGACTTTATATATTGAAATTAATGACTTTCTATGTCAGGCAATCTTACCTGTCCTTGTGGACTCCTTTCTTTCCCTCGTTGGTGGGGCTATATTTTCTTCTTCTTCTACGACCTCATCAATGATATGTAATGGTTCATAGGTGGTCGGCAAGATGATGGTGTAGGATGTCTCCCCCTAGAATAGTGGCGTTTATATTCAACAAATAAGAAAAACAAGAAGCAACTCACCATTCCGCATTCAAACATGTTGTTACTACCGCACATTATGTAAGTATAGACGGTTTGATAGAGCGGACATCGAACCTATTTCGTAGCTTATATAGCACTGGCTGGCTGATTAGGCCGCATTGAAATGGAAACGCTTATCGCGAAGCCAACGGACCAGCTATCGGACCAACGGTCAGACTGTGAAACTTGCAGTGTTGCATGTGCCTATGCAGTGTTCTTTGCGTTTTGAACTATCCCAAACTCTGTGGATAAGGTACCACTTCCCTTGTGTTTTACGTATCATGTTTGCAAGGACCGTCGCAAACCGCAAGGAGCTAGCGAATTATTAGAGTTGCTAAAGGGTTATGTGACTGAGTACATCTCATAGCTGATGCTAAAAGATGTAGACAAGTGAACAATTGTTGGTTTTGAGTACTGTTGGGTTGTCTATTGAATAATTTCGGTAGCTTTCGCGGCTCCTACAAATGCTGCAGACAATTTTTTGTCCATTGTTTGGTACCTTTGGTAAGGCTTTAGTTGAATTACAGTATAAGTTTTGTTTGAGTAGAATCCATTTCCCTATGAGAATAAGGCGCAGAAATGTGAGACACTATTTTTCTCATTCCGCACACATGTGAAAAAACTTTGTTTTCTCATCAAAAAATTTCGGGTCGGCACTTTCATATCTAGTGCTATTCGATAAATAGAGAAAACCTGAGTGCCTCCAAATACTCATCTTTAGATCCATCACAGCATGAAAAGAAGCTTGCAAAGTTGGAGAACTGAGCATTTGGAATTCCAGCCATTTTGGGGCATGGCTTTCCTTTCATGATAGTAAGAAACAATGAGCAGCTGTTATACGATTGTAGGAGCTTCAAGCTACTTTTCCTCAAAATCATGCATAAAAAACAATAGGAAAAGTTTTATGTGGGTTTCCGGGAGCTTAAAATATTTTTCGATGTACACGAAATGCATTCTGTATTTGGCTTTTCATTTAACAATGAGAAGTCAATGGTCGGGCATCACTTACTGGCGTCGTGCAAAGGACCAAACTGACTGGACCAATTGGCATTCCACTTAAGTTTCCTTTTATTTTTCGAATTTCCATAATAAATTGTGAAAAAATTTTTTGTATGAATTTAAAGTGCCCAATAGATTTTATAAGGGAATTCCTCTGTAGTTGCTGAAAAATATCAATGCTAATGAATCTAGGAATGTTGCTCAATAGATTTTGTAAGGAAATATCTTCTGCTTTGAAAAACTTCACATCTGAGATATCGAAGTTCAAATCACATGCATGTCATGCTCATGAGCATGGGTTAAATGTCATTTTTT